AAATATCAACATAAACATTCGCACATAAAAGTGCGCTTGCATATATTTACACAAACTTCAATTAGCCAAATCATTCTAACTCTAATTATTCGTGTTTTATATGTATATATAGATTTAAAATATGCCAGGTAGCAACAAGTTAGTTGGATTCTATCAACTTGTAGACTTAGGGCTACTGCAAGGATGTCCTAGATAAGTTAGTATCTTCGCTTTCATTGGATCCTGACATCTTTATATTTCGGTTAATCAAGAAAAAAAGTAGTTCCGTGAATATTAATGACTAGTTCGTTCATTATTTACATTTTCTTTAATGAACAGGTATATAATCTTTCTTGGATTGAATGTCAACTCGCGTCTAGACTTTTCTCTACTCCACCTTCTTCTAGTATCGAGGAGGCGGAGGACGCCTTTTTAACGGTAAGACATATACACTTCAATTTGGTTTTCACTGCAACCGTAGAGATAACGTTGTTGCATAGAGTTAGATCTACCACCAGCAGACCACCACTGCCTATATCCATAATTGAAGAACTTGTTAGCCTTATCGCCAGTTCGAAGTCCAAAATAACGGATGCATATATAGTTGAGCATTGCAGGCTCTTGACTTTTATCTTCTTCCATTGCTGTTTAGGCTTATTTTTCCAGGTGGCACAGCACCCCGCCGTCTCCTTAGCTGGTATATCACTCTAGATTAATTGTGAAAGATTAATCTAAATTAGCTTTTGAGCTTCAAACCTTCAAAACTGTTTGCATCTTACCATTGCCAATGACATACAATGCTCCATACCATTAAATTTTTACTACAAAATCCAAGTGCCTTAACATGTATCCACACATGAATTCATCTATATTCATTTATGTACATAGGCCGAGCGAACATCCTCTCCTAACGGTGTCAGCTGGCCAGCCAACCTGCTCTACCTTGCCAAATGCTCCATTAGCCGCGCCGATTATTCGAAAGCAGCGTCTTATCTATTCGCAGCCTCTCAGTGCTCTTTTTCGAGCGAAACC